TTATTGACTATGAAGGCTACTCCATTTCTTCTGAGGGATTCTTGCCCACAGTAGTATACCTGATGGTCATCTGAGTTAAATTCACCCATTCCTGTCCATTTTAGTTCGCTGATTCCTAAGATGTCAATGTTCATTCTTGTCATCTCTTTTTTGACTACGTCTAGCTTGCCTTGATTCATGGATCTTACATTCCAGGTTCCTATGGAGAAAAGATCTTTACAGAATAAGACTTTTCTTTCACCACCAGATATATCCACAGCTGAGCGTCCTTTCGGCTTTGGCCCAGTCGCTTCATTCTTTCTGGCGCTACTAGTACTAGCCCTCTGCTCTTCCCCAGTAGCATATTGGACACCTTCCGACCTGAGGGGCTCATCTTCCAGCGTCATATCTTTTTTCCTTTTAGTACTGTCCATGGGGTTTTCATGGCAAAGATACTGGAGTGGTTTGCCATTTCCTTCTCCAGTGGATCACATTTTGTCAGAACTCTCTGCTATGACCTGTCCGTCTTGGGTGGCCCTGCACGGCATAGCTTATAGCTTCATTGAGTTACACAAGCCCCTTCACCATGACAAGGCAGTAATCCATAAAGGGGTCTGAAATTTGGGTTTATATAATAGTTTATATATAGTAAGTTTACATTTTTGATAGTGATAAGCAAATTGAGAAACATTAATAACTTAATTGTATGACATGACATAGATACATGAAAATGTATGAAATACTTGTTAGGATATGTGACTTACAGATTTTCTTGTTCCCTCTTTTGCCTTTTGCAAATAAAATAATATTAATATTATATATTAAGAGCTCCAATCAAGGACAAAAGTTATTTCTTTTCTAAAGTCATGACTACATATGAGATTCTGATCCTCACTTTCTTTTGCCATATTTTTCTTCCCCAAATATTACAATAGGCCCAAATCAACTCTCAAAGTTTAAAAGTTCTGAAAATAGCACAGAAGTCCATCTGTTGCCATTCATCTGACTAAAATTAAAAAGCATCTGTTCCAGTGTTGAAAATGGCACAATATGAGTGAAAATAATATACAGTACTAAACATATATAGATCCCTTCCTCTATATCCTTGATGTAGCATCTTCTGGAGCAAGAGAAGGCAATATTAAAGTTCTTTCCTGTTACCAGATTGCTGGGGAGAAGTGGTTAACCTGTGACTCTTGTGTCAAGGTGGCCCTCAAATTAATTTAATGTTGCTTTCAGCTTCCCTTCAAGCAGGAAATTTACACTCGACAAAACCATCTGTCACTTTTCTAACAGCAGGCTAGGAAAAATAGAAAAGTTGACAATGAGGTGTCACAAAAAGAGAATACTCAAGAGAGGACACTCAGAGAGAGACTGAGTCTTCCTGCCACTACTGCCAATGGCCACATTTATATCATACTTCAACTCCACGTACCATTGAAAAGCAGCCATTCCTCAGATTTCCTGCAAGGAAATTGTATCTCAACAAGAAACATTCTGCCTGCCATTGTGGTAAACTTTATTATCTGGTTCTCCATTGTGATATCTCCAAGTGCCATTGTGTTTGTTTTCTAAAAATGTCTATGGATTGTGTCTCACACAGATATTCTGGCTAGGCTTGCCCAAAATATTTAACCTAATAGTTGTTGTGACCTATTTTTCCAAGGTTTGTGCAACAAATTGTAATATAAACTAAGAGACAAGCTTAACCCAGATCAAAACTCTAACAAGATTAAAAATAAACAAGTTTAGAATTATGTATAAATGCAGCTGCTGGATTTTTAAATAATTTGGCTAAGAGAGTGTGGTGCAAATCCATTCTCTGTGTAATAATAACAATGAAAGTCAACTTGTAATGCATTCTGGGTTAAACAAGTGCTTTAAATTTAAAAATTGTAGTTATCAAGTGGGAATTTTGTGGTGCTCTTGAAGGTATCCAGTCTCTATAGGTGCTTATTTCCCCCAGCATTCTTTTTTCTTCTTCTTTTTGCTGCTATGTAGTAAGGAGAATGTGGGCTCTCACTTAAGGACAAGCACATTATAAATAGTCTCTACTGGTTACATAAACAACAGAAAACAATGTGTTTTGTTTTCAACATTTACTGAAAAGTATGTCATAATCTCAGCATTTTTCTGTGCCATGAATTTTAGTTTAGAATGAAGAGCAGGCACTCAAACGTCTGGTAAAACATCCCCAGAGAGTGAAATATTCCTCCAAAGATAATATCTATCTGTAATTTCCAGTTATTCTCTTCTTGAATCTGGGTTTGTCATCTCTGACCTCTGAAAGGCAAGCAAAGGGTTTCTTTCAGAATGCAGGATGGTTACAAAGCAGCTAACATTACCACTAAATCACTTCTAAGGTAATGTTGACTGAACAGGCAGTCTCTTTTTATTGCTTTTGGCAACACTACATTGAGTTTCTTATGGGATTAGAATCTTATCTTGTTTTACCTTCTATCCTAGCACATCCCAAGGGCTTGGAAGGGGAAAAAAAAGTTTTAGAAACAAGTTTTAGGGAAAGATATTGGCCTTATATCCTGCTGGAAGGACTGCCAGTAAGACTTTGCCAAACCTGTTGGAGGTTAAAATTTTAGTTAAGACATTTGTTTGATCCAGCAGGTGTTCACTGGCATTCTTCAGTAAGAAATTTGTCTAATTTATATGACAAATTTTGACTAGGGTTGGGATTGTTTCATAAATGTTTCAAAGAAGTGCTTCACAATCCACAGAAGCATGGAAGTAGTATCTATCTGCTGTTCATTAAAATAATCAATGTTTTTCATTCAGCTGCAGAAGCCTGAAAAAGTGATGTCAATGCTTTAAGAGTTGTATTAACTATAATGAGCGATTTCTTACAGAAATAGCATTTGTTTCTACCTTGAGTGGAAGTCAGTTCTTTAATGACTAGCAGAGAGTTGTAGATTTAGCATGTGTGAACTCTGAAGCACTTTTTGTTATTAGACTTGTTCAGCTCTAGAATTTATTGACATGGATAGATTTCTTCATAAGGAGTCTAGTGATTATTTTTTTAAAAAGCCTGAAATCTGAAAAAAAAAATTAATATGGGAGTACTTACTTAATCCAGATTTTAAAACCATCCAAATGTCTATAGCAGGGGTGTCAAACTCAATTTCATTGAGGGCCACATCAGTATTGCGGTTGCCCTCAGGGGGGGGATGTGGCCAGGGTGGGTGCAGCCTACTAGGTGGGCATGGAGTGGGTGTGGCCTATTAGGTGGGCATGGAGAGCTCTATATCATTCTTGTCAAGGGGGCCTGTGGGGGCTTGGGCAGGAGTGGGGCACATCTGAGGGTCTCTGGCAGAAGGGGTTGGGACCAAGGCAAGTCCCAAGGCATGGTCCACTGGAGGAGCCTCACTGTTCCTCTCAGGCCATGTGGGGGAGCTGGATGGTAGTGCGGGCTGCCCAGAGCCTGGGCAGCAGAGGTCAAATGCCCAACCTGGCTCTCGGGTATCCGCAGCACCAAGCCCAGCCCCACTTCCCCAAGGGGGCACCCAGCTGCACTTACCTCCTCCTCAAGGCTGCTGCTGTTGTGCTTGCTCTCCTTAGTCAGGTTGCTCATGATGGGTACGAGGACAAAGTCAGAGGGAGGCCCATTCCCTCTCCATGGGAGGAGACCCGGCTTTGTACCCAAAGCCTCCTTAGCAATAGAATGGGAAACCCCAGGATAGGCCAGGAGGAGGGGACAAGGGGATGGTGAAAGGGTAGCAGGACCAAACTAAGGCAGGACTTCCCTTAGACCCTCCCTCTCCTTCTTTCCTTTCTTCCTTCCTAAGTACAGAGTGGTGGGAAAATATTTGAGACGGGAGAGGGAGAAAAACAGGCAAGAAATGCAGCCAGGGCCAAGGCAGCCTCACTGTTTCCAGGATGGCTTCACGGGCCACATGAAACCACTTCACGAGCCGCATCTGGCCCCCAGGCGTTGTGTTTGACATGTCTGATCTATAGCTAGAACTTGGTCCACTACTGCAAATAAAAATTAGGACAGCTTAGAGTTTCAGAAGTGTTTCAATTTTAGCAGTTTTGAGTGAAGCAAAACTGAAAAGCAGAGTGGGCCCATTTTCAGCCAACAGAATCAAGTGATTGTGATATTTTGCTGGATTGCCCATAAAAATTTTCACACATGAGCAGCATATCCACAGAAGATGGTTTCTTTGAGATAAGTCTCTTAGTCAGGTGAAATTGATTCCACTTCAGTACTTAGAAAAGCAGAGCATTCTTCCTCTGCTGCATGAAAGAAAGCCTTGAGGCAGAACAGGCAAACTCACAATAAAAATACTTGCTCACATGTAAAGAATAACTTCAACTTCTCATTCATTCATATAAATCTTCTCTTAGAGTTAGTGGGACAGGCCTATTGGTTTGCCACTTTAATTCTGATGCAGAGATGATTCTGATGCAGGGATAGTTCTGATGCAGAGATAAAAATAAATCTCTAGTCTCCACAGTATCCTTGCATTTCTGTGTTTATGTTTCTTCCTCTTCACTTATTCCCACAAATGAAGAAATCTGAAGGTTCTAGTTTTCTAATAGATATTTCCAGAAGCAGTTATCAGTGGAGTGTTTGGGGAGTGACATTTTTTTTATTGAAAATTTTTATTTTTTAACATACAAACATTATAAAAATACAATAAAATTTTAAAGTAAAATAAATTCATAAGCAACCATTGTCTATACTACCTTTACCCCCCCTTACCCTCCCTCCCACCCCAACCCCCCTCCCTTCATGGGGAGTGACATTCTTAAACAGAAAAATGTCATCCAGAAGATCAGCATAACAGCTATGGATAGGGTCTATCCACCTTTTAAAAAAAAGAATTGGTCATTCTTGTAAATAAAATTGATGCTGAGGAAGATTTCTCTCTTCCTTCTCTCTCTGACATTGGTAGCTTGTCATTAGCAGATTTTTTATAAGGTGTGGAGCCTATTGACAGCAAAGTACCCATATTTCTTACTTTTATTTTAAATAGAACAATACACAAACCTTAGTGTGTTCATACCTTGCTGCATGAAAATACAGTAGAGAGCCTCTGACGACTTGACTCTGTAAAGGAAAGGAAAGTGTGGGCTTGTTTCTGTTCTGATTTAGTTTTGACAATGAAAATATTGTACAAAAATCCTATTATTAAAAAAGTAAAAGATGTTAAAATATATTGTATTGTTAATTATTTAAATTTCCAAGGGCCCATTTTGACTAAGTCTTTCTTCACTAAGAGGAAATTTCTGGAAGATCTACATGATTTCCTAAGCCTATTACAGCAATGCTTTACAAGAAAGTTTGAAGAAGGTTTCTGCTATTTATTCACAAATAGGACTGAAAAGAAGAAAATTGAAAAGAGCAAGGAAGCCATTAACACAACAATCCTTGCTTTTCAGAGCTCACTGTAGATTCTCTGGTAATGCTTTTTCTATTTTGGCAAAGGATTGCAGGCTTGGTCTTTTAGTTAAACAGAATGAGGGAGTATACTTTATCCACTATATTAGAAATCCATTATGTTAGAAATAAATGTAAGCAGTTTGTAAGTTATTCAGCATGATACTATATTAAATACACAATGGGATCACTTGAATTTTCTGGCGCTACCTCTGTGTATATAAGCAAAAGATCTGCACTCTGATAATACATGATAAAGAAATGAATAGTTGGCCACTGGACCTGGTTATGTGTTATTATTAAGACTATGAATTCAAGTCCCATTCTGGTGATATATAGGAAATAACACAGAACTGTATACTTTTCTTTCACTGTAAAAGAATTTTTGCCATTAAAAATATATTGTCCTTGAAAAATATTGTTTAATTTCTCATTTTATATATAGATTACGTAACTGAAAAAGCTGAAGAATTGTAGTCTGCAGGAACAACTGAGTTCTGGGCTAGGAGATCACTTGTTGAATATGAGAAAGTTCATGGATTCATTTGCTATGAGACATTGTCAGAAGTTGGCTGTCTGTCAACAAATAATTGCACAACCACTGCTGAGCAACTCATAATCATGGATATTATTCCAAAGCACTACTGTACAGTAGAAGCTTGATTAGAATATATGCTGCTGGTCAACAGAGATGCTACTAAATCCAAGATATTACTAAGAGAATTAATTAGCAAATGAAGAATCCTCTTAGAGAACAGAAGGCTTTCTTGAGAAAAGGCCATTCTGCCCCAAAGAAGGAGGATAAATGTCACAATTTTTTATGGATAACAGCAAATAATATTTTTAAAAAATGGTAAAAATTAGTTCTTATGTTTCCCCATGCAGTACTTAACTTCCACCATTCCAGATCACATACTGAATTAAACATGAAATATAATAAGTTTATATGTGTATATTATACTACTTGATCATATTTGATTTAAAGAGGCTTTTACTGTAATAAAGCATGGTTAATAATATTAAGATCAATAATATTGAAAAAATAAAATGGATTTCAAAAAAGCTACTTTAGGACCAGGGAAATGGCAAACAACTGGATTGTCAAGTGTTAACGAAATGCAAGAAACATTGAAGGAAACTATACAAATAGCAAAGATCTGAATGTTTTCTTCATCTACATTTAATGCAGAATGTGGAAGGCTAATAGTTATTCTTGAGCTGATATTTTCAGTCAGGGAATTTAATGGTGAGAAAGAGATCTAGATCTTGCTGAGGAGTTGAAGATAAACAAATCACCAGGTCCAGATGGTATTCATCTGAAAATTCTTAAGGGACTCAATTATATTATAATAAAAACATGGCAAATCCCTCACATTGCTTCTAAATAAGAGAACTGGAAAACTCCAATGTTATGCCAATTTTTGCTTATTTAATTAAAGAAGTTATCCAGATTAATTCAAGAAATTGCTAGGTGGTAAGGATGGTATTTGTTCAAGTTAAATTAATGTTAAGTATTACTAAAAAATAAATTAGTCAACATAAACGTTGTGTCCAGTAGAAGCTCTATAGCATTCTTGCAAATGACACAAACCATGAATTTATATCATTGCCTCAATCAATAATCCTCTTGTGACAATATTTTGATTTTTTTCAGCTTAGAAAGAAAAGCCTAGTGGCATTACTCAGCTGGCTTTAACAAATTACAAAAAGCTAAACAGATTCAGATCAACACCTTCTCCCAGAGTGGTAGACAAGAACATAGGGGAACATAGGAAAAAACAACAACCTTGAGTCATCTAGTGGAACAAATGGTGACTAATTCAGAATCTTCATGGCAAATAAATTATGTTCAGTTCCATGAAATGGGTGAAGATAATGGCTTTATGTGCAACTTAACAACTTTTTGTATACATCTGCATGCCGCAGGGGAATCTTACTACCAGAAGTTAATAAAAAAAAAAAGCCTAAGAAAGGAGCAGGATTTTAAGAATATAATTGTTATCACAATCTCTGAAAAGACATTTGGCTTTACTGTTTCCATCTGCCACAGTATGTTCAAAAATAAATATGTCATTAATCTATTAGTTAAGGTGACCAACTTTTTTACAATGAAAAGGAGGCCACAAATAAATTGAAGAAAAATATATTGTAAATAAAAGAAACATTTTATTCATTGCAACAATAATACAGAATACACTATAATATGATAAATGCATAATAAAAACATTTGTAACAATAACATTTTATATTGTAATTATGCTTACATGCCACGCCCCTGCCCGCAGCTGCCCCACCAGCACTGCTGTCCCACCGTGTAAAGCGGGCCCCATGGCTCCCAAAACACCAGCTGTGCTGGCTCCGGCCCTGGGGGGCCAGCCCGCTGTTGACACATCTCGCCTGCAACCGCTCCACCAGCACCACCATCCACCCTGCACAGCCCCGTGTAGAGCAGGCCCCGCAACTCTCACAGCATGGGGGGAAGCCAGCCACTGCCACCCCTCACACCCCCCACCCGCAGCAGCCCCGCTGCCCCTGCCTCTTGCGCCCGCAGCCATTATTGCCCTAGCAGGGCCGAAGATCAAGAGAAAGTTACCGTGGCGTTGCCGCTGCAGTCTCCTCCAGGTATCTTTGGGACTAACTAGGAGATGGTGTAGTTGGGTAACAGGGAGGGGTGCAAAATTCCTGCCAATTTGTCTTCACTGCAGACAACTTACACGTGCAAAGTTTGCCGGCCAGGTGTTTTGGCGCGCTCAGCAGCAATTCCTATTGGCTTTCGAAAGCCAATAGGGGGAGTAGCACAGCTCATGCAAAAGTTGAAAAAAAAAAACATCAAAAAAAGGTGCCGGAATGCCATTCTGAGCGTTCTATGAGAAAAAAAGCCCCACAGATTAGTCTTCAAATATCGAAAAGGAGGACATGTAGGAGGATACTTTTCGAGGGAGGACAGAACTCACAAAAAGAGGACTGTCCTCTCTAAAGGAGGACAGTTGGTCACCTTATATTAGTTCAATATATTTTCATTCTTCAATTTTTGTTCTATACAAATCTGTTTACAATACTGAACATGAATTAAACATTAGCAATAACCTGATCTAAAATATTAGCTCATGAATCCTGAGGGGGAAAAAAACCTTGCAATTTTCAAATTAGGTTTATCCCAAAGTATACATTTAGCATGAAAATAAGAATCAAAGTAGTACCTCCACCCCAAAATCTCTGGATATGTCTTACAGCTTTTAATACTGGAAATATAACCGGAATTTTGCTTTAAAAAAATAAACCAAATTCCTGAGTTGACAACAGAGAAATAACCTAGGAACTTTCCAGTTGTGTCCACATTTAATTTTTTTTTTAAAAAAATGGTTACTTAGATGTCATTAGGAGATCTAAGTCATCATATATGCCTAATGGTAAAATGGAAACAGGGAAAGTTCAAAATTCCATCATGATATGAATGTTGTCATTTCATTATCTTTTTTTAAAAAATGGGTTTTATTTTTCCCGTAAAGTTTCTCAAATCCTTTTAATGTATTTAAAATAACTTAAATGTATATCAGTTTTAAAACAGTATTGTTTTATGACATTTATATTCCTTCATAAACTGATTCTGCCAGTAAGCATCAATCTGATATATCTAAACTTAAAATCAAAGGAAGATATTTAAAAGAGTTCAAATCCCAAGCTAATTCCCAGTTTTTACATATCCCAGGGGTATTTCAATCTATATAACATAATAACTTATCAATATATAATAATAATTAGCACTCTGTGACAGCCATTTTTATTTTTGGAATGACGTTTAGTTACCTTGTTAAGACAACCCAGTAATTCCAATACCAAATCAAATATAATAGGAGATTAAAATTCCTTGTGCCAATTAAATGGCTAATAAAATAATCCCAGCAGTAATAAATCATGCCAAAAGATTACTAATCCAATTAGTAAAAGAAACAAATCCATATTTAGTCAAAGCTTGCTTAAATTTCCCATATTTTGATCTAGAGTCCACCTTTACCAATTCCATTTTTTCTGATTGTATGCCTAAAAATATGAATTAAGGTTCTAATATTACCTAGATTTTGTTGACCTTTTATACAATCAGACTGTGAAGGAGGGACTATCCAAAGTAATATTGACATCAGGATTTTTATTAAAATGTTGGCATCAACATTTTAAAACAAAGTCAAGCAATAGTTTGAAAAGTCTATGATAACTTTCAAAATCATATTGGCCCCCTTTGAAAGAAGACAGGAAAGCTTTATTCAAAATGGTGTTCTAAATTTTCAACAATACTTAAGCAAAGAAGTGGACGCTTGCATCATTTTTTTTAAAATAATACAACTCTTCCAGAGTTTACATATGTTTAGACTATTTATTTACCTACTTTATCTCTTCAAGAAATTACGGACACCATAAAATTCTATGGAAACAGGAGTATTGGCTATGCTATTGAATGATTCAAGTGTTATTCAGTAGCATAGCCAACATTCCTGTTTCTGTAGATTTTTTCCTGAAGAGAAAAAGGAGGTTAAAAAAAAAAAAAACAGTTTGAAAATATATAAGCCCTGGAAAAGTTGTATTATTTTAAAAAAATGATTAGTTTCTTCCTCAATAACTTCTGACTCAATATTTTCAAGTCAGTTTTTCAATAAAAACGTTGGTACATAATA